GGATTTTTTTTTTTTTTTTTTAGTTCGAGGTCCTTAACACTACGTGTATACCTATATGTATATTTTGACGTCGATACGAAGGAGGCTTTATCAGTTCATTGAGTCGCGCGTGAAATTTTCTTTCTTGTCGTTTTATGCGATTTTCGAGAAAATTGTACACGGGCTGGTTATGCAATGTAAATTTAGTGCTGCACGATGGCACAGCAAAATTTTAAAACTTTTCAAGTTCCGTAATCAACTCGTCGATCTTTAGATGATAATTAATAATTAAATTAGCGGAGATTTGTTTCTTGTTTATCAAAATGCTTCTTTTTTTTTGGGATTTCATTAATCCGATCAATATCGTGAAGATTTTCTTTTTTATCTGTGGGTTATGCTTTTATTGACCTTTTTTTTTTGGGTTGGTACTATCGTGGATGTGTTCTTGATTTACTCGAATCTCCGAATTTTTGGAAACAAATCTCCGACGTAATCGATACCTGTGAATGCCTAGCGACCCAGAGAATTTCTGCAAAATTAATCAGAAAAAGTTTAAAAAAAGCAAAGGTAACAGCACACATTTTGACGTGATTCCTTGTAACACTCGCTGATAACCGACGAGCATCGCTTTTACTATTATCGTTACCGAGATTATTCTTCACTTTGTAGTTTTATAATTTCGTACGAGACTCCATTGTCACTGTTGAGTTATCATTGACGATAGTGGAAACAGAGAGTTACGACGAGCCTATCGTAGTTTAAAATATCGCGCTGAAATGTTGTATAATTCCTAGGGATATTTGAAACTTGATTGTAGGCATAAAAAATCGTATATTTAATTTTCGATGATTCTCGATGTGCATTTCTTTTACGTCCAATTGAAAACTGTATGGATTTTTGTTTTTAAACGTTAAACAACATTTCGGCGAACGCGCACACCAGGCGCGCCAAGGCGAGGACATTTTTATTCCCTAGAAATTTAGTTACTTATCCACACCAGTCTCCCAGATAAAAATCCACTGATACCTAGGGATGCAGTGACACCAAAATTATTAGTTACGTCAGTCTCATTAAAATCATCATCCTTATGTCATACGTTTATAGATACGTCACAAGTACGAAAATGCCAGATACTTATAATCCGCTGTAATACTTAAGCTTAGAATTTCCAAGTAACGTGATATAAAACACACACCCTTTACGTGTCCATAGCCAGATATTACATTAAATATCACTAGAGCATTGATAACTGAGTTACGTTCTGTTGGTAAGTTTGTATTTAATCTGTCTAGCAATAGCAGTAGAGGAGTCTAGTAAATTTTAGCGCGTCGCTATCCAAGAAATTGCAAAAAAAAAAATTTTTTTTAATTTCCCCGAGATCAAAAGCACTTTGTCGCTCACGATTCTTTTTTTTTTTTTTCGATTAAAAATTTTCGAAAATCTTCAAAACAAGCACTTTCTTCGATAGGACCGTCGTATTTATGTACACGCGTACCACCAATAAGAATTCTGTGTAGTTGTGACCCGATAGTTTTTATCCCCATTAGAGCAAGTGAATTTTGAGAGAAAAAAAAGTTATTGAAAAAAACCAAAAAAAAAAGAGTTATGGAAAAAACCGACAAAATTGGAATAACAAAGAACTGTACAAACAACGTGAATTCCGAAACGTGATTGAAGAAAAATTCTTTTTCGTACATTTAGATATCGAACGACATGCATAACGCACCCGCTAACAAGACAATCTAGATTCTACATAGGGTTTGATAAACACGGTACCCTAATCACCAAAGGATTCGCATCTTAAAGCTGAGTGGTTGTATTTGTGGTTTCAGAGTGATATTTACGGGCATCTACACATTTGAGTCCGCCGTTAAGGTGATGGCGAGGGGTTTCATTCTGCAGCCTTTTACCTATCTTAGAGATGCATGGAATTGGCTCGACTTCGTAGTTATAGCTTTAGCGTGAGTAGTTAAAACATATTCATTTCTTTATTAAAAAAAAAAAAAAAAAAAAAAAAATTGTCAAGGGAGCAAAAGTCAAATGTCAAAAGAAGAATCTACGTTATACGCGTGAAGACTGACTGGATGACTGAATGTGAAGTGCATATGCGGTAATGCGAATGCGTGGGCGAGCAACTGTGTGAAACTACCCTAAGCCTATTCGAAGGGGTTGTTTCAGCGACACTCACAAAAGTATTTTTCATTTAAATCTGTTTTTTCCTCTTCATTTTCATTAAATACATCAGACACGTATTGACTGATGGGGGGATGAATTTTTTTTCACTTTTTTTTTGTGATTCTCTAAAAAAATTGTCTTTTCTGTTTTTTAATGTTGGTAGTAGATTTTCTTTCCTAATTTTTGTAAACATTCTCTCTCACACACGCCTAAGCAACACATTACAGATTTACACGTACATACACGATTTTACACGTATATAAATATATATATATTGTTATATCATTAGTCTAAAGTTGCTAATTAGTGTCGAATTAGATTTCTAGGGATTTTATCTTATTTTTGACACTAGAACCTTCGACGGATACGTTTAGTACGCTATCATAATAATCGTAGTACTGGAGTAACTGTTGAGACCCTAGGTACCTTATACATTGACATCTCTCTGTATTCATATATATATATATATATATATATATATATATATCGATCATTTATGAGATTAGCCGTGATTAGTTTAAGCATAGAAAAATTCATTAATCTCACTAGTCGAGAACTTACCCTTTCTCCCGATCACAGACGATTCAATTATTAAAGACTAAAGGAAAAGAAAAAAAAAAGTCAACCAATCGATCCAAGTCTGTTGTCCGACAAAAAATAGTAATTAAAAGAAATAATTGAAACCCAAAAAAATTTAATTATCAAAAAACATCATTATCATCGTAATTCATAATTAGCATTAGCACACGACATTGCCTCGATTAATTATTGATTATTGTTCCGTAGTTATTAGTTGGATATATGTATATATATATATATATACTTATATTTAATTGTTGACTATAATTATAAAATGTACAAGCTGCCTCGTATCGTTGAGATATTCTTCGAAGTGCATGCATAATCAGAAAAAAAGTATTCGAAAAAAATGTTATAGTAAATTCTCGCCCTTCGACAAAAACCGGTAAAACGCTATGGTAACGCGTGAAATTGAAATGTTCGAAAAGAAAAAGAAAAAAAAATGAAAAACCTGAAAATTTTGTTATTCCCACCCCCTTAATCCCTGAAATTCGTAATTATCAAAAATTACGAATGATACCGCGCAGCCTGTACACTCGTATCGTTCTATTGCGTAATTCGACCAATACGATATACAGAGAGAAATATATATCTATATATACGATTGATATATACTAAATCATCAGGACACACGCTCAGAATCATACACGGTATATTCACGTATGATTATACCATATACACAGTACACGATATAACATACGCAAACATTATTTCGTGCATGCGTTATAATATTGATATACATAAATATATAGGTAACACTGTATACAGAAACGCAAAAAAAGAAGTCACTGATAACGTTACACGTATATCAAATTTTTTGACGTGACCCTGTCCATGCCTAATACAAATAATGAAGATAAAAAAAGAGGAGCGGTAGCCACCTAGGATTAATTGGTAGTCTAGTTACTTTTTTTTTTTCTTTAACAATCTTTTTTTTATTTTTTTTATTTTAAACCGTCACTTGACGCGTGCTCGTAAATTTGTTACTTGACGATCCGTAATCGCTGTAATGTGTGTGATGTTCGGGTGTATTGCAGTTATGTGACGATGGGCATAGATCTAGGCAACCTTGCCGCTCTCAGGACATTTCGAGTCCTCCGAGCCTTGAAGACTGTCGCTATTGTACCAGGTATGCTTAGAAATTAGTGATTAGATTATTGGTAGTGTGTCTCTCTTTGTACGTGCATAGTTTATTATATATATATATTATATATATATATATTTTTTTTTTGATAGAAATAAGTAGTGAGACAGAGAGAGAGGGTGATATACGTATATTTAATATATTGGGCTCGAATGAGTTCACGAACCTCTTCTTATCCGGTTGGCTGTATCCGGCAATCATGGCTTGCCA